GAGTGGAAAAGGATTCGTTAGTACTTTTGTCTGTTGTTAGCTAGGTCAGAATGGTAGAAAAAGCCGAAGACTGTTGCTTGTGGATTCGATGTAATCTCGTTAATTAAAGAGGATTATGATGAACTTGAGCCTGTATTAACTTGCTCAGAAGTAGTACAAGGTGGTGCTGACAATTCTGTTGTTTGTGGAGTTGATAATATCTCGTGAGATGAAGAGTAAATTGTGATTGAGTCTCTAGTCACTTCCATTGATGTGGTACTGGGTTTTTTCGAAGATTCCTTTGACTGTTGAGTTGAGAATATTTATGGAGTGGAAAACAATTCAGTAGAGTTTGGGCGGGTGGTCACTATCTCAATTGAGTGCTGGGTTCTGTCGAAAATTCATTTTTCTGCTGAGTAGATGATATTTCGAGAGAGGAAGAGGATTCATTTGTATTGTGTCGGTTGTCACCTTCTCAGAAGAAAGGGAAGAATAAATCGAAGATTAATTTGTCAGTGAAATTGATGTTATCGCGTAAATTGAGGAGGATTCTGACGAGCTTGTCGCTGCCTGAACTACATCAGAAGTAATAGCAGGTTGTGTCGACAAATGTATTGTCTGTGGAGTTGATAATATTTCGAGAGTTGAAGAGGATTATGATGTGCTTGTGTCTGTTGTCACCTCCGCAGTAGAAATAGTATAATATATTGAAGATTCTGTTGCAGGTGGAATTGATGAAATCTCATCTAATGAAGAGGTTTCTAATGAGATTGTGCCAGTATGAACTTCGGCAGAAGTAGTAACAGATTGTGTCGACAATTCCGTTGTCGGTGGAGTTGATGATATTTCGAGAGTTGAAGAGGATTCTGTTGTGCTTGTGCCTGTTGTGACCTCCTCAGTCGAAATGGTGGAATATGTGGAAGATTCTGTTGTCAGTGGAGTTGATGAAATCTCCTCTATTGAAGAGGTTTCTGATGAGCTTGTGCCTGTATGAACTTCGGCAGAAGTAGTACCAGATTGTGTCGACAATTCCGTTGTCGGTGGAGTTGATGATATTTCGAGAGTTGAAGAGGATTCTGTTGTGCTTGTGCGTGTTGTCACCTCTTCAGTCGAAATGGTAGAATATGTGGAAGATTCTGTTGTCAGTGGAGTTGATGAAATC